GAGGTGGCGGGGAGTGGATTGCAGCGTGGCCATCGCCCTGGGGCTGCGCTCTCTCCCTCTCCGGCTCTCTGGTGAACACGTGCACCCTCTGGCAAAATTTAAGAAAATAATTTCAATAACAACATTAAATAGATCAGTATTTTTTACAAAAATTAACACTAACTTTGAGAAAAGTGTATGTAATAAACATAAAAGTAAATTAAAATACTATTAGATAAAATGCCATCCACTAGAACTGCATGAAGGGTAATACTATTTCTCATAATTCTATATTTTAACTTCCCCAAATTATGTATTACTTTATGATAAGAAAAGTGTTTATTATCAATAGTATTAGTATTATTTGGCCAAAAGAAATCCTGTAGTGGAAATAAACCCTTTGAAGTGGAACGAAAGAAATTAGTCTATTGTAAATTTTATAAAAAGTAAAAATAATAGTAGTAAATGGAAACTAAACCTCACTTAAATGATGAGACCCTTTCTAGAAGTAAATATATATACATTTTATTTACAGAGAACACCCACAAAGATCCACATATAAGCACATTTTTCATAGAAAAAAATGAACTGTATTTCCAAAGTTATCAGTAAGTCTCACATACACATCAATCGCTTCTTAAAGTAGGATGTTGTAATGCTGCCGGTAAGTAACAGCAGAATGAGTGGCGACGCCTGAGACAGAACGGGCGTTTGTTTCAGTGTCTGCAGGGCACCGCGCACGCCCGGACTCGTGGGTGTCTGCAGGGCACCGCGCACGCCAAGACTCCTGGGTGTCTGCAGGGCACCGCGCACGCCAGGACTCATGGCTGGAGAGAAGCTATGAGCGAGAGCAAGGAGGCCTAAAGAAGTGTGGCGAGTCTGGGCCCTGGGATTGGGCTGTTCGCAGCATCTCTGGTTAAGACAGAGCTGTAGAAACAGGATTGAGGGCCCTAGAAAGGCCTGACCAACAGGCAAAGAAGTTTAGGTAATATTTGATATTTGAGAGTCACTGGGAATAGAGAGAAGGTCTTCGGAGGCATTGCATGAGCTGCGCTCTCAGTGCTACTTTCTGCGACGTGAAGTCTCACTGGAAACGACCTAGGCTTGAATTCTCTTATGATAACTGAAACAAGAAGAAAAGCAAGAGATATCGCCAGTGAGTCCAGAAGGATACCCACCAGACCATCCTTTAAAATAACCAAAAACAGAACCGCAGATGGCATAATGGTTGGTTACATTGCTGGACTCTCATGTAGTCCACCCTGGTTTAAGTCCTGGATCCAGCGGCCTAAAACTCATGCTGTGGGCTGACTGGGGGCCAGCAAGAGGCATGGTGGTTAAGGGCGATGGCGGTTCCAGTCCTGGACCTGGCAATTGGCTTTCTCATTTTTTTTCTCTCTCTCTCTCTGGTCAAAATAAAATAAATAAAGTTAAAATAATTTTTAAAGAAGAAAAAAATAAAAACTCACACCAGGCACGTGTGCAGATATGCCCAAAATCTTGAGAGGAGAATGGAGGAGAAGGGATTGCTGAGTGGCCATGCCCCCTTGGGGGTGATTTCTTGCTTTCTGTCTTTCTGTCTCTGTCTCTCTGGTGAGTGTGTGCACCCTATAGCAAAAATCTCTCAAAAAAAATTTCAAAAACACCAAAATAAAAAAATAATAATATTTCAAGAAAAATAGTTGTCATTTATTTGTGATAAACGTTTGGTTAAATATGTAGTAAATTAAAGATGGCTTTGACCTCTTTTGTACTAGAAGTTAATTCAGGAGTTGAGACCGTGAACGGGTTCAGAAT